GTCACGATCCTATGAGTTATTAAACTTGGAAAACCATACTGTAGATAGATAAGATATAAAAACGTATAATTTTCGTATTAGTATCATCGGACATTTTTGATTTACACATGTCAAAATCTAAGATCGATAGATTGGCCACGTGTCACGATCCTATGAGTTATTAACTGTGAAAACCATACTTTATATAATAAGATAAGAGAAATAGCTTAAGAAATTGAGAGATAGCTAGAAGAAACACACTAGAAATCTGATGAATCCGAAGAGTCACACACCCAAATTGTCGATATCAATTCCCTTACGGTCCAATTGCTACCAGCCTACCACCAATGACGAGTCTGATTCATATTTATTAAAATATTAAAAAGAAACCATATTTATCCTGCTATAAAATATATAATCCACTATTGAATGATCCCAAATCGAGTTTGAAGATATATTTAGACTCGGCGAAGTGTCCGTCAGGTTAATTTGTGTCAAACCGGTAACTGAAATTCAATAAAATTTGGTTGACGATTTACTAAACGAAAAGCATGATTTTAATTAGATATGTTGAATTGTGTAATTTTTATCCAAGAGTTGTAACTTTCTAGATTATAAATCGATGAAGTCAAAATTATGAGAAAATTCTGGCTTAATAACGTTAAAGGTTTGCGACCATCAATCCTTTTTTTTATATATAAATATTATATTAAATTATGAGAAAATTCTGGCTTAATAACGTTAAAAGTATTTTATAATTATTTATCGGCGTTTTGATATTCGGATCTGTTTCGGTTTGGTTCTATTCGATTCATATTCTTTTGGTTATAAAGTTTAATATCTATATAAGTACCGAAATACTTTTTGTTTTATCACATTCGGTTCGGTAATCAATTGAATAACTGAGTATGAACCAAAACATTTTGAGTATTTGACTATTTCAGCTTTTATTGAGATGTTCCGGATTTTTGTTGTATATCGGTCGTGTATTTTTGGTTCGGTTATTCAAGTTTTTTTCGACTATTCAGGTTTTTTTTGTCTAAAAATAACTTATAACTTTGTATATATAACTGTATTTCGTATATTTTGATTTTGTTCTCCTAAATCTAGAGTTTAGACTCAAATTACAAATTATATGTTCTTTCGAATCTGGAATTTATGCTCAAATTAAAAATTACATAAAGTTTTAAAAGGGATTTATGCCTTCTAGTTATAAATGTCATAAATAACATCCCAAATTATAAAGTTGTATCGGTTTAGGAGGTTTAAAAAACACTTCCAAAATTTCGTTAAAAATGTCATCATCACAGGGACTTCGTGCAATCTATGTTAAGTACATGGATGTGAAGCGTCTTTTTCCTTCGATAAGGAAACCGGCTGTGTTTTTGCTGAACAAAAAAAAGAGGGAGACAGGAGAGCGAGAGAAACTGAGAAACATCAATCCTACATAGATAATTTCTGCAACTTTATGAGTAATTCCTCATAACTTATCTCTTAGTTCTCATGTCAGATTATAATAACATCACATTAGTCCCTCTTTGATTTATAGACTTGAATCACAAGAGCCTGAAACTATTCTATTCTTAGTTTTCATTGTAAGTTTACAGAAAAATCGGTCATTTCATACCTCACCTAAAACACTATTTTCGATTCATACCCAAAGTGTATTGTTGTGCAAGTCCATATATTAACCAACTAAAATTTCAAATTTACATCCCAAACTTGCAAAATCTTGCAAATATATGCCTAAGCCGTGACGGTGTTAAGAGGCCGTTAACTGCTTACGTGGATGCGTGTGTGACGACATCATTTTATCTAAAACTAAAATTTAAGAAAGAAAAGTGTTTTATGTCTTAAAAATGTCCCATTGAGTTATTGAATTCGAAAAAAGTGTATCTAGATGCAAAATTTCCTAATTATTAATGAATATGATATAGTGTTTATTTATTTATTGTCACTTAGTTTGATTCAAGATAGAACCCAATTTTGATATATACGTTTATGTCATCTAATAGTTGACTTGAATCAGTTGAATCGACTACACAATTATAATGAAATATCTTTATTTTTTGGAATATCCTAGTACATGAATAGAGTTAAAAGAAAAGAAAAATTAAGGTTGTAATATGGGATTATTTCTCTTCGGTTGACTACATTTGCTTTAGATAAATATGGGATTATCTCTCTTCGGTTGATAATCCTAAGGTTGTAATAGAATAGTAGTAACACATGTTTGTAAGTGGTTAATTATATTCCACTGTTGTAATGGTCTGAACAGCTGGTTCCAATGTTATATAATACGAGTTAAAATTTTGTTTCATATTACTTGTCGTTTTATATTTACAATGCAAATTTATGTCAGATTTTCCAGTTTAACCCTACTTTTTAAGCTTATTAATTACTTATATCAAACAAAATAATGTATTAATTAGGAGTAAAATAATAATTTTAATTGTTTTCTTAATTTGTGTGAAATAACCTAGAACGACAAGAAATATGAAACGGAGGGAGTAATCATACTTTGTTTGACCAAAAATAAAAAAATAATCATACTTTTAGTGAAAGAAAAAAGAGATGGATACAAAGCAAAAAAAATTGGTCAAGAGACAAACAACAAGTATTTATCCGGAGATCTGTCGCATCAAAATTTGATCAAGATTACTATTGATATCAAAACAAAACATATGTGAATATGAAATCATTTACGCATGAAAATGAAAAATAAAATATATTAAAGTTTTAACTTTCTAAAGTAGTCGGTTAAGTTACGTAACTACTTACGATAAACTTGTCAGGAATAAGAATTCATGGTAGCTATTAGTCAGAACAAGTCCACTGTAAATGCAGTATTAATGTAAGCACAAGAAAAATGATCCTACTAAACTTATAATAAGTAAATCACCTATAGACATTGCATAGCTACAATATGCTGATTTTCTTATGACACTTAGTAAGGATGTTAAAAGAAAACGAATCATAATAAGAGAAAAAAAAAAAAAAAAAAAAAAAAATCATTTTGAGAATTTCTCAAGCTTCTCATCAGCAACCAACCCATGAATCTAGAAAGCATTGAAGCTCTTAAAATCAGATTTTATAACATATTAATACAAAGAAACCTCCAAAACAAAATCTAACCAGAGATATTTATCTAATTCAACCCCATCAAACCAATCAAAATCTATAATCTAGCTTCACTGTCCAACATTCTATTTCTTTTTTTCTCCAAAACTATTGATGTTATTTTAACCTATATACTCTACACGTTCTTTCTTCTCTTTGGTCATACGTTTAAAAAAGATCATGAACCCTTCATATAATTAAAAGACAGATATCCTTCAGAGTTCAGACCCATATCTAAAGCAGTAAACGAGAACAAAAGTGAGGTAAATTGTCTCTATAGTGACTCAAATTGCAGTGCATCTCATAGAAACCAAGCAGAGAGAGTCAAGGGGAACATGAAATTGGAAGAGAAATTATATGTTATGTTAAAAGAGATACTAAACTACACAACTTAAGAAAAATGTATGTTTCATAGCAATAAAAGAAAGAGCTTTAGAAAACCAAAGTGCCAAAATTAGAGAAAGAGAATCTAGCAAAGTTAGAGAGTTACTGACCAATCTTTAACAAAATCTAACCAGAAATGTCTATCAAATTAAGAAAAATGATCAAGAAAAAGCAGACTCACTAACATTTATCACAACAACCCCAAAAAAAAAAAAAAAAGCCAAGACATGAAGAGATTGCTTGTTTCTCAACTCTTTATAACAACTGATGAATCCGAAGAGTCACACACACAAATTTTTAATTTGCTACCACAAATAATGAGTCAGAATCATATTTTTCTAAAGATTAACATCAACCAGATTTAACATGCTATCAAAAATATAATCTACCATTGAATAACTAAATCGAGTTTGAAAATATATCCAAAACTGGTAAGTTTTTTTCTAGCCAATTTAACCGAAGAAAACTTTAATTATCTAGCGACTTTTTTTTCCATCTATTTTTGGATTGGATATGATCAATTTGGGTCAAAACCTATATTATCATATTTTAATTAAATGTGTTGATTTCTGTAGAGTTGAATATATCATGATCTTTACCAAAAAGTTATAACTCTCTTGCGAAGATGGAATAGAAGCTATCGAAAAACTAACTTCATTCTATCATCGAGATTATAAATAGAAAAGCCAAAAATACGAGAAAAATCCGTTTAAAATATTTGCTACAATCAATATTCAAAAATAAAAAATGGAAAATTTTTAGTCAAATAAATAAAATATGGTATAAATGATTAATTTTGCCTAAAAATTAAATGACCATTATGTTTTATTGACTAAAGTGATAATTCTGTCAATATAAAAGAAATTGCTCCGATGGTGAGAAAAGAGGCAAAAAAACCATTGCATCGGTTGGCGCGAAAATCGGCAACAAACCCTAAATCCAACCGACGATTCCTCTTCATCTTCACCTAAACCCTCGTAAACCCTCCTCTCCCATTTCCTCTAGATTTCAATTTCCATGACGATTCTTCGATCTCGCGAAATCCCATCGGTCTCAGCCAAGCCACTCCCTAAACAATCCGACATTGAGCCGTCGACTCCTGCTCGGACACTAGAGCCCGATGTTCACCGTTCGCCTGATGAATTGGGTCTTGTTGATGAACCCACTCACACTACCCGGAGGCGTAGTCTTCGTCTTGCACACCAATTTGACGGCGATGATAGTGTCACTGAAAACGAGGTTAGTGGCGAGAGAAGAGAGTTGAATGTGGATGATAAGTTTTTGAGTTTAAGGTCAGGGAAGAGAGTTGCTAAGAGAGGTGTTGATTATGGAATTGAAATTGAGTCTAGGAAGTTTGATTTCGATAGCGAATTAGGCGGAAGTAGGAGTAAACGAAAGAGGGTTTGTGTGGATTTGGTTGAGGAAAATATTGTGAGGGATGAATTAGAGAATAGTGGAGATTTGGTTAATGGAGATGTTAAACTCGATTCAGAATCCAGCTTTATGGTTAATGAGGAGAAGGGAAAGGCTGTGATGGAAGATAGGAATGGTAGTGGTGTGTTAGGTGACTCGTTAGTAGAAGTAGAAAATGAGAGTAAGAACAAAGGAAAGGGGATAATGGAAGATTCCTATGGAGAAAGTGATGTCATTTGTGTTGAGAGTTATGAGAAGCCGAGTAGCTCTATGGGTAGAAGAAAATATACTCGGGAGGAGAAGGGAAAGGGTGTTATTCAGGTGGAGGATGTCTCTTCTCCAATTACGATTGAAGTTGGTGAAGAAGCAATGGAAATTGAGAACTTGGTTAACAATGAGGAGCCCCCGGTTGTCTCTGTACCAGAATTGGCTGCAGCGGGGGTTAATGTAGAACAAACGCAGAATCATAATAGTAATGAGATTGGAAACGGTTCAAGAACTCGGCACTTTCGTGACATTGCCAAGAGGAATGCTTCCAGATTTGCTCGTTTTGATGCTCAAATGGAGGAAGAAGAGGACTTGTCAGATAAAGAGGGTGAACTACAGGTTGAAGATTGGCCTGGTCCTTTCTCTACTGCCATTAAAATAATTAAGGACAGAGAAGAGAACACGACTCCATATGTTGGTATTGGTGTCTCCAACAAAGAAAGATCTTCACCACCTATATGGGTTCCCAAAAGAAACTGTAGTCTTACCCCTCGGAAGGCTCCATCTCTGCAAGAACTATCCTTGCGAATTCTTGTCAAGAATGCTGATGCCATCACTTCGCTTGACTATGTTCCAGACACACTGAGGGTCAAACTTTGTCAATTGCTTTGTGATTCTAGGAGAATGGACGTGCATTTTCTTGATCTTCTTGTCCAGGGATCTCCAACAGAAATTTGTGTTCCAGATTGCTCATGGCTTACCGAGGAACAATTCACTGAGTGTTTTAAGAACTGTGACACCAGCAACTTGATGGTAACTTACTCTTACAAGTTCAGTTTTACTTTAATACCGCATCATATATTGCATTTAGGTAAAAAAGAAAAAGAAAAAATTCCTGTCAAGACAACATTTCAGTACCACTTTATTCATGTAGGTAATTGGCTTAGATTGGATATTGAATCGTATGTGAGGTTAGCTGCCCGTTCTTGGAAATAATGTTACTGAAAGGAATTAATCATGAATTATCCCGTAATAAACATATTGTCATACCTAAGATAAAGTTCTTCATGCGTAAGATGACATTAAGGTGTACATTGTAACGAAAGTCAACATTCGCCATCTTCGTGAAACAGGTTCTTCAACTCGACCAGTGTGGTCGTTGTATGCCAGATTATGTATTACATTCCACCTTAGCAAGGTCACCAAAACAGTTGCCGATGCTATCTTCTTTATCTTTAAGTGGTGCATGCAGGCTTTCCGATGTGGGGCTACGGGCACTTGTTTCCTCTGCTCCTGCGATTACATCTATTAATCTCAGCCAATGCTCTCTTCTAACATCATCTAGCATTGATATGTTATCTGATTCATTGGGGTCAGTTTTAAGGGAACTGTATATCAACGAGTGCCAAAACATTGATATGAAACTTATTGTCTCAGCATTAAAAAAGTTTGAGAAGTTGGAAGTATTGTCCCTTGCGGATATTCCTTCAGTCAAGGGTCAGTTCTTGAAGGAGTTTGTTACTGCTATAGGACAAACCCTGAAGCAGCTGATTTTGACCAACTCTGGGTATGCCTCTTGAATTTCCTTGTTCACCCCCTTTGATTTGTGACTCTGAATTGGTTTTACCTTATTTGGCTTTGTTAATCTGATGCAGGAAATTAACTGATTCTTCTGTTAAAGCCATCTCTGAAAACTGTCCCAATTTAAGTGTGCTTGACCTGGCTAACGTATGCAAGCTGACGGATTCTTCACTGGGTTACCTTGCAAATGGCTGTCAAGCTCTAGAGAAATTGATTTTTTGTCGCAACTCTTTCAGGCAAGTCTCTATACCCATCTGTATTCATGCTTACTGGAAGGTTACTATCTCATTCAAATGTTCATGTTATTTCGGTACAACTGTGCTATGTTGCCATTTGATATGGTAACATGGCCTGTTATATATAAGAACTTATCCATGATTTTGTTATGTTTGTTATGTGTGAGAAACTTATGGTGTTACTGTGTTAAATGACGGGTGCTTTTGGAGACATCATCTGTTTTATAGCTTGAAATCAATACACATATAGTCATGTTCTTATGAACTGTGTAATAGCGGTGTTGTATGTCAAAATTAACAGACGCTTCATATGTCTCTCTATAGTGATGAAGCTGTAGCTGCATTTGTAGAAACCGCAGGCAGTTCTCTGAAGGAGCTGTCACTAAACAATGTTAAGAAGGTAAACGGGTCTCTTTCCCATTATGCCACCAATCCACAGAGTCATGCTTAAGTTACACCAACACATTTTTTTTTATGTTCAGGTTGGCCACAACACGGCCCTAGCACTTGCTAAACATTCAGATAAGCTGCAGATTTTGGATGTATCCTGGTGCCGAGAAATGTCGAACGATTTATTAGGCTACTTTGTCGATAACTGTTCATCTTTGAAAGTGTTGAAGGTCTTTGGATGCACTCAGGTAAGAAACTTAAAAACCAAAAAGCCCTCGTCTTCTTCGCAAAGAAACAGACAAAACCTCAAAAAGAAACCTATCTTTTCTCTTTTGCAGGTGACCGATGTATTCGTTAAAGGTCACTCAAACCCTAATGTCAAGATCTTAGGTTTGAAGATGAATCCCTTCTTGGGTCACCTTACAAAGAACCTTGCTGATAGCTGAAAGAAACTCTGACATCTCCCTCTGCTTTGTTTGTTTGTTTTTGGAGAAGAAGAGCAGAGACGAATTTCACTAATTTGTCCAAATGTTGTTTGGTTTTTAATTTAATATGTATTAAGGCAAATATTAAATATCTAAGTCTTAAGTTCTGTTTTTGTGTTCGAATGAGTATGGGTTTAAACATTTTGATATAGGGAAAACAAATATTTCAGGTTTGAATCCAAAGCCAAATATACACTTCTCCACAACGCACACACTATTGTACATGAAAGTTGGACATAATACACACTTGACTATACTTTACATGACAAACAAATTAACAAGTGAGCCACGAGATGTAGCCATCAATCACTCTTCTGTGTCTTGATTCTTCTCTCCCATTCTCCAAAACAAAAACAATCAAGAAAGGGCATAGAGAACCAAGATAGTTTTCTTGTGTGTTATCTTGTGTACTGGAGCAAGTATGTATCATCATCTAATGATTCAAATTTACCCGTTTCAACGATCTGGTCCAATAACACAGCATATGTGTCAGGTCAGGAAAACCGATTATCAACTTTTTAGAGTAATGAATTTGAGGTTTTTACCTTGAAACCGGTCTTCTGGTATAATTCTTGAGCAACTGAATTGTTTTTATGTACATGAACATAAAGTTGTTCAACTCCTGCACCAATACAATCCAGACATGGTTTAGATCATTCTCTCCAAATGTTCAACTTATTTAACGGTTCAGATACAATCATTACAAAGACGGCCTTTCTCTTTTCCATCAACATTATTTACCACTCAATCTGGCTGATTCGACAGCGAAACGTAACATGTTGCAAGCAATGCCCTGGCGGCGAGCTGATTTCGCAACACATAGATTAGCAATATAACCATACCTATTTGATCCTTCCCGGTTTATGCTGCAGAACAATTGAGACTTTACCTTTTCCTGCACATAATGTAACTTATTAGGAGCCTTTTAATAATACAGCCAAGGTAAGAAATTGAATCCCAATTCTCAAACGAAAGAAATATACCCCAGGAAAGGTCTCTCCCTGCAAGAAGTACCGAATACTCAAATCAAGCGTCCCAACCACACTTTTGATTACTGAACGTTTAATGTGCTTCTCTTCCTTCTTTACCTAATAAATACAACAACAAAAGCTGATAAACGCAAACTCTCAATGAAAAATAAGTGCAAACAGTATATTATACCGCAACGATACATGAGCATTTCTGTCCTTGCATCCCTTTACATCTTCTTTTTATGGCATTAAACTCCTGAAACGTAAATAGTAATTTTGAATATCATACTTTGAACAAAGTTTCCTCCACTTAAAGAAAGAGATAAAAATGATATAAGTTCCTACCTGCTCTGCAAATTTCCTTTTGTAGTTATCAACATATCTGTGATTATAAAAGAACAACATCAATCAGCCATACCAATCATCTCCACTCAATCTAAGCTACTTATAAACTATCCAATACTTCCTTAAACACGGTTCAATCGCATTCGACAGACTCGAAAGACCACTACCAATTACACTCAATACAATTCATTTGTTAACCATCTTCTTTGTTTGCTTACAAGTTACAAGATTACTCTAAAGATAGAGAACAAGAACCTTTCATTGGAACGATCTTCCCAATGACTCTCTGCACGAAGCCAAGCTGCAGTCTAACACAAACTCCAAGTAAACACACAAAAATCAATCTCTTAAGAAGAAACCATAAACGAAATTGACTCGGAGGTGAAGAATTTGAGTGACCTTACCCAATATTCTTCATCAACCATAGCTTCTCTTGCTACGAATTTACCAAATTCCAATCTATCTTCATGACCAAACTCTTGCTCAGGAGGCTGCAAACGATCGAATCTCAAACCTTCAGGTCTTAATTGATCAACTTGAGGAGGAATTGATATCTTCACAGAGAGTTCTTCCTTCTTAGATGTATCAGAAGATCTCGAATCGATCGTTAATTTCCAAAGAGGGATAGTTCTCCGAAATCTCTGCCGGGAAATTCGAGACCGATTGTGCGTGATTCGTAGCAGTTCAGTCCGATGGATCGAAATCGTCGACATCGCCGCCGTAACAGAAAGCAACTTTTGACCTGAGAGAATTTTGAGTCACCGGAAGAAGAAAATATCAAATGGATAAAGACGATAATGTATAAGGGTAAGATAGTCATTTTCTCTGCCTGTACAAGTTGGCGCGTTTGTATCTAACGGTAAGGATTGTGTGACGTGGCGAATTGGAAGGCGTAGATGGATTGGACTTTGGAGAAGATGGGTATCTAGGGACCTGACAATTGTCATCTTCTTTTTTTCTCCACACAAACAATAACATATTTTAAACAATAAAATAATTTAGAAACAGCCAGTATTAAATTAGAAATATAAAAAGTTGCCGACGTTTTATTATTTATAGTTTTTCTTTTTTTCATCTAGAAATTTTTTGAATTAAACTTGTTGTGAAGTGAATCATACTAGAAACTAAACGCTCCTAAGCCGTCGGACGAATAGAAATCGTGGAAAACATAAGCCGGAAAAAAACGAGAATTATCCAGAAACTAAAACGAAACTAAAAGATATAAAAACTACAAAACAGAAAATCCGAAATCAAAAGAGATTGAAACCTTAGTCAAAGAACATAAACAAAATGACTTAATCCTAAGAAGGACAATAGTCCAAAGCAACGAGTCGACTTCTTTTTCGAAAATTCCTATGAACGAGATTTACCAATGATGCACACGACCAATCCAAAAATAACGTCTACCTACTCCTCTCATGATCATAAGAGCCAACTTCTCATAACCAAGAACCAAAAGTTCAACCATGCAAGCAAGACACAAGTCATTATTTTATACGCATGTTTCATTCCATTTTTCATGATAAATGTATAGATTAGGTCCTAAGAAAAAAAATTACGAAAATAATCATCGATCTAGTTGTTGACTAAAAGACTAGTATGTAAAATACTTTTGTTTATTTTATTTTAAGCAAGACAAAAATTGTAGCGTCAATTGTGTGTGTGTTTTTTTTAATGATGAATAATTACTGTGCAGATTGCAATATATTAATATCATTCAACCAATACGATTGGGAATACAAACATATGATGTATGTTCTATACAAAATAACACACGAGTACCAAATAATATTACATTACTAAGGTTAAGGACTTACTCCAAAACCTAAAGCCTCAAAGAATTTCAACTAGATCAAGTTCAATATCCCTTTCGTTAACTTTATCCCAATCAATATACGTATCCACTGGGTCAACCTCATCTCTTGTGACAGAAGACGATAAGGTGGTTCCACGAGAAAGTGTTTCTTGAGTTTGGTTAGTGCTTGAATCTTGTAATGCATTGAGCTGTGCTTTCACCACTTCAAGAGTATTGTATGGAGGATACTGATTGTGTGGAACAGATGCTTGTATTGATTGTGGTGTTGTTGACAAAACAATTGTATTGTTTAAAGTGTCCTGAAAACAAAATCATCAAAAGCATAATATTTTCTACGAATATGTGATTGATACAAATATTTAAGATATCAAATCTTGTTAATGTGTTGAAAAATATCAATATCATTACCTGATGAAGAGAATTAATTGTTGGTGGTACCGTAGCCGATGAAAAAGTTGCATTGTGATATGAGTCATGAATGACACAACTATTGTTTACCTGAAGTTGTTGTTGAGTTGTGATAGTAGATAAGCCATGCATTGATTGTGACTCAATACTCATATATGGATTGACAAAACCTTGAGCCATATCGTAACTCTGATTGTCGTTGAGCTGTAGATTTCCTTGAGTGGGATGTATCGATGCCTCGTATATTGAAAATGTATTGCATGTGTTTTGATTCAACTCACTCAATGAAAGACAAGCCATATCGTCGTTGCAAAAATCTTTGACAGACGTGGTATTTTGTGGAATGATGATAGATGGTTGTTGTGAATAGTTCATTGTGAATGGATTTGTGTCTCCCTCGGAAAAATGGTATGACAATGGTATAAACCATTGCTCTTGTGAAGATGATTGTTGTGATAGAGTAGTTGATGTCGAAATATTGTTGTTGTATTGACTAGGTAAAGTTGGATTCATACTTGCCTTTAAATATTGTGTCTCGAACATATTGCGTTGATTTTCTATTGCAAAAGCCGTTTGCATTCTTTGTGCTTCGCGACATCTTCGTAAACGTAAATCGTTCTACAAAAAGAACTTAGTCACACATGCATATCATCACACATAATGTATTAAGTAATATAAAATAAAGCTAAGAAGTTAACCTCTATAAGCATGTAGAGTGATCCTTGGACTTCTTTTTCCTTTTTTGGTTTTGGTTTTACAGCTCCCGTAAATCTAGGTTGTCTACTCAATTTTGTATCAATATGTTCAAAACTCTCATAAGAATGATTAGTTTTTGTAGAATGAATAAATTTGAAAAAACTCTCATATGAATACAATTTTTTTTTCTTACATATTTACTTGTGGGCGAGGTGAGTTTAATGAAGCACATGTTTTTTTTATGTCACGAGCAGTTTTAAAACCTTGAGAAACAAGATAAAAGACAAGACATTAATTTGGTTATTTGTTTGAACGAAAATATAATGTTAATTTAAGATTATTTATATATGAAAAAATAAACAAAATACACATGTTTTTCTAACATTGCGAGCACCATTTAATTAGAAACAAGATAAAAGACTATGCATTGATTTTCTTGGTATATTTGTTTCAAGGAAAATATCATTTTAATGTTATTGATATATATGAAACGATAAACAAAATACACTAAGAAAAATACGTCTTAATATGTCTATATCTCTCATCTTTTAGTCAACTTAAAATATAAAAAAAATTTGTCTTAAAATGAGACCATAAAAAAAACACATCAACCAAAAATAATCAAATTTAAAAATTTATTAATAATGATCATATGAGTTTTTTAAATGTCATAACCATATTGTCTATATGATATTAAGAACTATAGATTGAAAAAGTCGTAAAAATATATTTTTAAAATTAAAAAAGAAATATTATTTTTATTATTCATCATTTAAAAAGACTTAAAATTAATTTTAAATTGAATAATACGAAATAAATGACAAAAGATATTAAGGGAATGAAGCTGAACATACGTCTAATATATTGATTTGTTCCATCCCGTATGTTACACTTTCCAAGTCTAAATTTCTGGAAAGATAAGAAGACTTAAACATTAAATAAATTACAAATACTAAAATTTAATTTTGAGTCATATGAAAAATATGTATATAAGAATATAAACAATTACCTGAAGATGGCTCTTCACATGGTGAAGTGCAATTCCTTCAACTTCCATTGTCTCTTTAACACTTTTTGGCGTTGCTTCTGCAAAATAAAACAGAAATATTTGTGAAATAAGCTCTTGATCTTTTAAATGTATCAACACATATTTACATATGAACTTAGAAATCTCACTAACAATGCCACAATTGTTTTGAATATTTTAGCCCTAGAATGTGTAAGAGTCAACCATTCAACCATACATATTTTTAATCCATCGTACAACCAAAAAAAATATCGTTACCAATACGCGATTCTATTTGTTCAAAACAATATGAATATCATGACGTGTGTTAACATTATGCTATTATTAATTTTATATTAATTAAAAACGACAAAATAACGATCACATAACGAAAATTCCAAAATAAATATATTCGAACGCATAAAATGTTATTCGCCGCAAAGAAAATGTTGGATAAGTCATAAACACTCCAACTTTGTTGCTAGTACAAAAAAAATTAACATCATGATTGACGACTAAAATATCTAAAATGTCACCAATACAAATTTAAAGTTTATGTAAACAAAATAGGTTTAAAATGTTCAATTTTAAAAATAACAAACGTATTCAAAAAAACATATTTAAAACTATTTGATATCATTTAAACTTCTAAAAAACTTTAATCGTGCCTTATTCCGGTAAAAACCAAAAAGTGTTAAAAATAAATACTAAAATGATCTATATGAATCAAATGCTTTAAGTCACCTTGTCTTGAATCGCATATATATACTTCATAAAACCAAAGATTTTACCTCTTCTTTATGACCATTGAAAAAGGATCCTAGGTAAATAAAACTAAAGATAAAATAAAGACCAACCATAAATAAAAATTTGTTGATGACTCTTATGCAAGAACATGAAAAAAAAAAACATAAATATAACTTACTTTTCTATTTATGACTGTTATATGCAAGAACATAAAAAAAAAAAATCACGTACATATTGCTAAATTTATGCAAGCTAATCGAATATAATCTAAAAACACAAAAATTGTTGTAGCTTTTATCTTCTTTTTCATCCTAAGAATATATCTTAAGATCGATGAAATATAACTTACTTTTCTTTTTTTAATATAAACTTTTATATCCATGTAACTGATGATCACAAATCTATAAAGATTGATTTCATCATAGATTACATGGATACATGTATTCATAAAAAAAGTCATTTAATCCAAAGAAAATAAGGAAACCATGAGAAATGTATAATTTTATGATAGATAAAACATGCAATGTTAAAGTAGATCAATATAAGTGAAGAATGAAGAACTCATGAAATATAAACTAGTAGGAAGTAAGAATTTAGGTTACTAACTGTCAGGTCCACCAAGTTTTTCCACAGCAGTAACAAAGCAATCGTGAAGGTCTCTTGACCACCGCAATCGTGCCTTTTCATCAGATGTGTAGAAAATGCATGGCGTGATCTTTCCTTCTTTCGGTGTGATTTGTTTTCGAGTTAGAGTGGTTGAGAGAATTATAGGTAAAAAAATAAAAATAAATAAAAAACTAAATATAACCATGATTTAAAGAAGGAAAGTAAACTTTTAAAATTCTTAAAAACAAAAGATTCAAGGTTCAATGTACAGTAACTCAGAGTTAAGGTAACAAATGTATTCACATGGAAGGAGATAATTGGTTTGTGGTTTTTAAATAACACAAGAAGATCAAAAGTTGGGACTACCATTTTAATATGGTTACATACTCATCTCAGAGAATGACAAAGATTTTTTTTTTTTTTTGTTAAAGAGAGAATGACAATGATGTTATAAATTAAAAGTTAGAAGAAGCCAAGAGATATTGAAAACGGCCGGCTAGAAACTTGCCTCTCTTTTTTTTATAAGAATATTGAAATTTATAATATTCGATTGTTTTCTTTGAACTTTGCTTAAACAAAGATTAGGATAAACCACCAAGGTAAAATTAAATTTTTGATTTTTATATAAAATGATCCATGTGTATATAACATTAGTTATTTGAAAATCTTTTTATTTCTTTTTCATTATTTATAAATGTTATTACTATTTTGAAATAGAAAAAAAAATTTGCAGCAATTTACTAATAATATAAGCAATATATAAATAAAATATAAGCAACAAATTTAAAAAACAAAAATATAGTATCATATGTTTACGAAAACTATGATCTAATAAATTGTGCTAATTATGTCGTTAATCTAAACTAAGAAGATAAATCATACATTGTATACCGCATAACCTATTATTTATATGTCCTGAAGTGATGAAAAACTATTTGAGCAGAATATATAATCCTAAATATGGTGTTATCTAGTTAGATGAATTTAAATTTAGCTTTCCGTTATACATGTGTAACGCCCCGACCGCCATCTCTTATTGGGCCCCACGTCTTTTCTCGGCCCGTGGGTCCATCATCTTTCGACTGTCGGTCCGCTACGTCCGGAAGGCTTTAAAGACTTGTTACCGACCCTACAAATCACCACATGATCTTTTCCCGTGTTTTGTTCTCACTCACACAGTTCCGACAATCACTTCCCGGAAGGTCATCCATCCTTAAATTGCTCCAGCTTAAGCACGCTTAATTGTGAAGTTCTCTCAGAACAGTTGACCGAAAAGGTAAGTGCACTTTGGTGATATAGGTGGCCAAATCAATTCTTTTAAACCTCTCCGCATGCACCACCATATTCTTGAAACCGGGGTGTTACAATTTACCACCACTAACAGATCGCAACGTCCTCGTTGCGCACCAAGACCGTCACCCCCTACGGTGTGAGCCCTCTTGAATCCACACTCTACTGGGTTCAGCTCTGATACCACTTGTAACGCCCCGACCGCCATCTCTCTTAATGGGTCCCACGTCCTCTCTCGACCCGTAGACCCATCATCTTTTGACGGTCGGTCCGCTACGTCCGGGAGGCTTTAAAGACTTGTTACCGACCCTACAAATCACCACATGATCTTTTCATGTGTTTTGTCATCACTCACAAAGTTCCGACAATCACTTTCCGGAAGGTCACCCATCCTTAAATTGCTCCAGCTCAAGCACGCTTAACTGTGGAGTTCTCTCAGGCAGTTGACCGAAAAGGTAAGTGCACTTTGGTGATATAGGTGGTCAAATCAGTTCTTTTAAGCCTTTCCGCATGCACCACCATATTCATAAAACCGAGGTGTTACAACATGTTGTAATATTTTTGGATGCTGCTAATAGATTTTTTTTTGTTTATTAAATGTTTATCTTTAGTACAAAACAGTGACTAAATTACAAAGTAGTACTAAACTACTAAACTACCAATTGAAACACTTATCATAAATATAAAAAATGCATATTATATCCTTATTTTTATTTTGCTTGTCTAATAGTAATCTTATTTGTGCAAATCTGTATAGTATTTTATATGCATAAAATAAAAAATTAATGAAAGACTTTAAAGAAGAACAATACAAAATTGCTGACTAAATCACCTTTAATTGTAACAACTTTTATGCTTCTTTATACTTAACGCATGCAGAAAAAAAAAACAACTTTTCAAAATTGATTTTTCTCTATATTTGTCTCTACACTCGCTAGATTTTAAATATCATTGTTCCCCCAAAAAACGAAAAAAAAAGGCATGGTTATCATAATGCAAAAAGAAAAGACATTTTAACAAAACATATGTCGTGTCGTGAAAATAATATTTTTCCTTCTTTTTTTGACATTTATTTAAGAAAAATTATCCACATGTTCTTTATTTTTTGTCTTCATCAACGTGTTCAATACTTTTTCTTTTTTTGGTCTTTTGTATAAGTTTTTGATTAGGAAAAAGTAGTTTGTAACGGTTATAATTTTTTGTATTTTTATAAATATTTTATTGTATTGATCGAAATCTATATAAAGTTACGTAATGTGGCATTTGGAGTTGGAAGTGATGGAAAAAACGTATTTTATACTAATTTATGAAATTTAATTAATTTAATTATTAGAAACGAAAATATTTTATTAACTTAAAAAAAAAGAATGACCAATCAAAATGAACATGTAAGATTTGATATCTAACTTACCATATTAATTCGTTATTAATAATTATACTTCACTTCTCATCTTTATATGATTCTATTTTTATGAAACAAATAAATCATCATACAATCCATATAACAAAAAAAAAATTAAAAATTTTCTGCATATGCCAAGATTTAAATTTTTTAAAACAAATATAAATTGTTAAATCTATGAAGAAAAAAATTTAACGGGTCAAAAATTCATATTTGAGTAATATATTTCTTTTAACCAAAAATAAGTTCAACAAAAATTTCGACTGAGTAACGGGTCAGAATTTAAATATTTATATTTAATTTCATACATTTATTTTTGAAATGTATTATTTTATAGGGAAATTGTTAAAAATACCCTTTTTGGTGTGCCCCTTTTCAAAAATGCCCCTTTTAGATGTCCATTTTAAAAAATGCCCCTTTTTAAATATGAAATTTTTATAAAGTTTTATTAGGTTTATTAGGTACTTATGGATTGTAACTACTACTTGAAGACTCGATCCAAGTATTTATAAGGTTTTATAAGGTGTTTTAAAGGTTTTACAAGTTATTTTAAAGGATTTTTAAGGTTTTTCAAAGGTTTTACAAGATATTTTGAAGGTTTTTAAAGGTATTTAAAATGCATTTATAAGGTATTGATAAAATATTTATAAGATTTTAGATACATAGAAATGTAGTCTGTGTATGTTTTAATAATATTACATACATATTTGGGTAAATCTTATATTTTTAAGAGCATTTTTTATAAGGTTTTAAAAATGGGTATTTTTAAAAAGTGGTATTGAAAAAGTGGCATTTTTGCAAAAGCCCCTATTTTATATACTACAATAAGACTTTTAAATATTTTAATTTGCAACATATAAAATTAGTTTTACTTGATATTTTTCAAGAATATCATCAATATTTAAAAAATATCATCAATAAATACTCTAATTTATTTTTTTAAAAACAAATATTTATAATAAGCAGTGGGTTAAATATAATATATTATATTAACAAATGAGTTATGATGCTTATAACTGTTTAAATATTTCTATTTAATTTCATATAATTCTTTTTTGAAATTCATAATTTTCTATACTACAAGAAATATTTTAAAAGATTTTTATTTAGAACATTTAAAAATAGTTTAATTTAATATTTTAATGAATAGCTTAAATATTCAATAAACTAAAATGATAAAAAAATTACAAATACTTTAATTTGATTTTCTAAAAAGATATATTTAAAATAGTTGTAGTAGGCGGAGGGTTAAATGTAATATATTATATGATATAAAATTATGATCCTTATAATAGACGACATGTCAAGATTATATGATCAGATAGATTAAATAAGGTTGACATTACAAAATATTTGAAAATTTGATTGTGCAAGTAATTTTGGAAATAACGAATAATAGATTGTGCACGCAATATTTTCATTAGGAATCTAAAATAAAAATATAGACTCCCGCACATGTTGAATTTGGTATATTATATACTAAATATATGTTCATAACATATTCGATTACGCGAATAATTGATAAATTCCGTAGTTACCTCAAACAAATATCTATTTCAACAACCAAAGAATTAGAAATTGAAAAAAGAATTTCCTAAATTAATTCCAAATAATAGCTAACTTTCTTAATTAATTAAAAATAATCTGCGTTTTAGAAGGGATTCATTTATAATATTTTGATTTTAGATCTAACTGAATTATATGCAATCTCATTTTATGGTTGTTAATATAAATTAACTCATTGTTCAGACTATATTAATTTATTAAAATAATTTTATTTTCCTTTTTCATATCTTAAAAAAATATATCCATAATTGTGTATTATTAAAAAAAGAAAATATATTCATTCTAATATTATATATTGGGACTGACAAAAATCTAATTATATTTTTCAATTACTATTATAATATATCACAATTTTATTCTAAAATATATAATATATATATATTTTATAATAAATGAAATTTAATCCGTACTGTAGTACGGGTGATGATCTAGTTGGAGCTTATGGATGCAACGTCATATCGCAATTTGTTACTTTAATATATAGTTTTTTTACTTTCTTTTTTTTTTGTCAACTCTTTAATATATAGGATTTTAGATTTATATATATATTCAAAGATTTTGACATATGGTGTAAAAAATGATGAATATTTTTTCACTCCACGAGGTTTTATTATTTTACTAAATATTAAATGTACAAGTGGAAACAATAAAAACATTATAGGATTCAAATTATCTCATCTCATCTCATATTTTTCAAGAACAATAAAAAAATTATAGGATAAATCTTACTATAAATTACATCATCATCCCAACATTACTAATTTATAGATGTTTTACTTATGCCACCTTTTTATTGTGACCAACACATGGCCAATTCGGCCATTTCCCTCAATATTACATGTTAATTATAAGTTCTGGA